CGCAAAACCGAGATGCTTTAAACACATAAATATCAACAGTTTAAGAGTTACTTACCGTTACAACAGCAATGCTTGGACGTTAACAACTTTGTTTCGAGAATGGTTGAGCGATTTTGATATTCACATTTCAAAAGTGCATGGAGGTCAGCCTGTCTTACTTATTTTAGATAATTGTCCAAGTCATGTCATTGAAGGAGTAAACCTCCCATATACTGAAATACTTTACACAACGGCAAAAATCCAACCAAGTGATGCTGGGACCATTATGTCATTTAAAAAGCATTATCGTCGGTATCATGTTCGTTGGATGTTAGAACAAATGAAAATGCCAGCAATTTAAAAATGGATGTTTTATTGGCAATACAATACATTATTCAAGCCTGAGACGATGTTACATCTGACGTCATTTTGAATTGCTGGAAAGCTACCAAAATTCTTCCCGACAATAATGATAATAATAATTCAATTGGAGATGAAACTCAAGAGTTAAATAATGAAACAATTACTGAATTGTCTGAGTCCATCATGAGGTTGAATTTTTCTGATTGAATGACAACAAATGAATATGTGTCTTTTTCAGTGCAAAATATCGTTTTGAGCTTCCTGAAAGTGATGATATTATTTCTTTATTTAGTGAAGAACACAATGAAGAAACTGATGATGATAGTAATGAAACCCCAATAGTTAGTGCTCATGAGGCACTGAAAAGTTTAGAAAGCATAAAGACATTTCTAACTCAACAAGAGGGTGCCAGTAGCTATTTAAAAGCTGTTAAAGTTTGGAGAAATTCATTCATGAAAAAAGGGCAAATTCGATGAAACAAAGTAGCATAACACAATTCTTAGTTAACAACTAAGGATATTATAGTCAAAAATTTTCCATAAAATTAGCTGGAAAGTATATTAAAATATCTTTCCTAACAGGGAAATCCTCCATAAATGCAAAACCCCCATAAATGCAACACAACCCTTGGTCCCAAGGTGTTGCATTTATGGAGGTGTCACTGTAGGTAGTTTGCCAAATCTGGCAATAGACTGGGGGAGGTAGAGGGGAGGTAATTTACCTCCCCAAGTGCTAAGCTATCTCCCCTACCAATTTAGTAACAAAACATTACCAAATCTGGTACTGATTAGAACACCCTAAATCATAATAGGCTTGCATCTTATGCCTGGCCCATTTTGAGCTAGTCAATAATAATAATGATACTTCCTAAATGCAGTAGGGGAAGTAGCCAAATTTAGTAACTCAAAGCATTACCATATCTGGTAGGAGGTAACCAATAAGAATGCACTAAAACTTTGATACATATTAATATGGCATACCTCATCCTTTGGTGTATATTGCAGCTCATCTGCAATGCTTTCTAGGTCAATATCTGTTTTCACCATCCTCAAATTCAAGGCCATTGTTTCTGGAGGCAGGAACATCATTGTCATATTGATTGCTAAACTCAACCAACATCACTACTCTTGCCCTCAATGTTCAAATTTCTTGTACCAAGAGCCATCTCCACAGGTTTGTCATTGCCACTCTCCACTGCTGTTGTCCCTGTTTCCATTTCTTCAGAACTTCTGTCAATAAACTCATTAAATGAGACATCATAATCATTATGACATTTCCTTTGGGAAAAAAATTGTATTTAGAATTATTATAGACTGATGATCAAATCTAGTACTAGGTGGGAATTCTGAAAACCCTTTTTTTCCTTCAGAATTTATAATATCATCAATAAGATTTATCTTTATATTGATCTAAAATCGAATGAGAGAAACAAATAATTAGTATACTTCACATACCAACAAACATATTCTGCAGGCTGTAATGGTAAAATCTGATTGTCACCTTTGCCAGAAATTCACTGTAAGTCAAATGAACTTGAGCATTTGCAATCTCCTCACTTCTATCCCATATGATGTTATCAATCTTTGATGATCTTTTCTTTATTATGTAAAAAGAAGAAAAGTGATTAGTATCAAAAATATTGGTGGCAATGGATTGTTAACATTTCACATCAGGTGTAAACATGAAAGAATCACTAGCAATGAATGAAACTGCCACAGTTCTCTTTCCCATCAGGTTAGAAAGCATCCCCCTCAAAAGCATTGAGGGAACATCTACACTTGAATAAAACTGACCTTAGCTGCCTTTCTAGTGATTGCACCTTTTCCAAAAATTTTCAATCTGATGATTGAAGAAGTATCTTCAATTCCTTGCTCAGAGAGACGTATTTGCTGGATCCAGTCATGTCGAAAGACTCAATGGACCAGCTCTCGACACCGGTACTTGACCACTAATCTGTAGAATCAGAGTCATTAGATAAGTCCAAGATGTTGTGGGACATATACTGTATAGTACAGTGGTAGTAAAGCCAAAATTCACCCTTGTGATGAAGATTATTCAGTAGAAGAGGTATAGATTCAACATGCAGTCTTGTAGGGATGAGTCGAAGTTGGAAAGAGTAAAAGACGTGGGCATTGGTGTTCCTGGGAAGAGAATGAGAAATTTGCAAAATGTGACAAAATGTACCATAGATCACATGATCACATGTTATAGATGTTAACCGAGTTCGGTAAGAAAGCAAATAAGAATATCCCACCGGCTTTAAGTAAATTACATCGAATTTGTTTTCTTCATCGACGGTGAACACGCAAATGGTAAAATCTATGTGAATGAGCATTTTTTATAATTACAGTATCTGCGATTATATATGACTAAAAAATTAATGATGTGTTGACGTGTATTATGCGATGGGCGAAGGAGAATGCATAAAAAAAGATGGCAAGACTTTCAGGTAATCTTTTCTAAATAATAGGCAGGAGTGGACAGTGGCGTATTTCAATCTGTCATTGTTGAAAAGTTTGATTTGCCAGTTTAAATTTTAATCTTCTTGGGAGAGCAATGATCTGTCGCATAGGTGTGTTCACCGACAGGGGGATGTTACCAAATTTAACTCAGATCGCTACCCTTACTAATAGCGATTGTCTTTAC